CGTGATGGCAGAGTGGGGGAGGGTGGATAGAGCTTCCAGAAGAAGAGGAGACGTGACAATTTCCCCTTTCCTGGCGTTATTTCCAGGAAATCTGATATGCTTGTTTCCTACCACTGAGACGTGCGTAAACTACAGCCATCACTGTCCGAATTTGATGGAGTTTAACCTACTCATAGTCCAGACAAGTAAAAGGCTGCATGCTTTGGTTGGAAAGTAGAATTTTATAAGGTACTTTGCGTCCAAGGAGCACGTCTGGGCATCCCTGGGATCTTCCCTAAGAAAAGCCACACTCTCTGCCTTCCCATCCCTCTTAAGTCCCACGCTCACTCACCTCGGTCACGATGGAGGAGCCGGGCGTGTCATACACCCAGCCGTGCTGACAGGGGCCCAGCGGCAGGTGGCTCCGGTTGGCGGCCAGGCCGGCCAGCGGGTCCACGCAGCCGAGGGTGCTCTGGTTCCAGTCCACCTCGTAGCGGAGGCACTGCTGGGGGAAGGCCTGGCCCACCAGCCCCAGGCCCGGCACCGTGTAGTTCAGCTCCTCCTCCAGGCTCCAGCCGCATCGCCGGCTCAGCTCAGCCACGCCGGGGCTCCGGCAGCGGTGGTCCGGGATGAAGCCCAGGAAGACGATGCCCACGTAGATGGGGGTGAACGCGGCAGACAGCAGCGCTAGGAAGAAAAATGTTTGTTTCTGGAAAAAGTTGAACTCCCCTATGTGCTCTAGGATGTCATCCACCGTCGGCATTCTTCCCCAGGCAGGAGGAGCCCCGATGCTTTTCCCTGCGCTGTTGCAAAGGCCAATGAGGCAGGCGGCGGCCAGCTCAGCACGACTCTCTCGACCAAAAGTCAAAGGGTGAGCATTAGTATTCTCTAGAAGGCGACCAGCCTTTGGTCCAGAACTCTGTGGGCCGGGCTAGCTTCCAGCTGTGCGGGGTGCATCCGGCTGCTCTCCTGAAACTCCCCAGCGCTCACAGGGCAAGGCGTGTTTACTGCAGTGTCGCTCCTTGAGTTTGTTGCTGCCTCGTGCGGCCCCACAAACAATCCCTCCTCTGTACCGCCCGGTGAGAAACCCGAGCGCTTTCACATATCACGAACCTGTTAATCTTTCTCTAGTAAACTGAGTGTCCAGGAAATCAATATATTCCCATCTCACCCACACAGCCAACCTTTTCTCCAAGGTTGCAGGGAAACGCACGCGATCCTGGCCTTGCTCGCCGGGTGCGTGGTGAATCACAGTCTCCGGCCAGAGACGCGAGGTGCTTTGCCAATTCTATCACTGGGCTCATTCTCCAAACAGCAGCAAGTGCACTCAGGATACCTGCTGTGGCTTGTTTTGATTTTTCCCGGACTTTCTAATTCTCCCCTTTGAAGAATGACAATCTGGCATTCTTGTCTTTGAACCCTGAGACCCCTTGACCCACTTGTGAGGCAAGAATGCAATGTTCTCCACACATCTAGGTCAAGTGTGAACACAGGCAGGAGTGTTTTCATTCTGCTGTCTTTTTGTCCTAGATATTTCTTCCTGTGGTCAGGGGGGCCTCTTTAGGATGGTGCTGGGTGCATCTGAATGCAAGGGAAACAGGCAAACATCTTTCCTGGTAGGGAGAGGATCCTCACTGCCATGGGCAGCTGCTACGCCAGGAAGGTGGCCAGTTGATATATCTGCATATTAAAATACCAGAAATTTCTTGAATCCAGTCTTTCTTGCTTGTTTGCTCTCTTGCTTTCATTCTTTCTTTCTCTCTATTTTTTTCTTTCTCGCTCTTTCTTTCTTTCTCCTCCTGGGTTCTGTTTTTCTGAGGGTATAACAGCATGGGTCTAAGAGGAGTGACCCTCAGATGTCCTACCCACTACAGCTGCAAACTTCTTGTTTTCTTAAAAAAGCAAGAACCAGGGCACCTGTGGAGACCCTGTCGACCTCTTCTGCACCTTTGTTGGGCTCCCAGAGAGGCTCTGCCTGATGGCGACTGTGCCCCAGCCAGCTCCAGTTTGAGTGAGTGGGTTCAGACTTGGTAGAACCAAGAGCTAGGGTAATGTTTCTGGCACAAAGTTATAGTTCCAAAGCTCATCCAGGCAGTTATACCCACTGACTATTCAAGGGGACAAAACAAGAGAACTAGATTAAGTTGCTGGTTGTCCTGTGACTGGCCACGGCCAAGGGTAGGCTGTGATGAGTAGGTAATAAACAGTCACCGACTGAAAACACCAACCCGGAAAGCTGTGCTTTGTTCTGCGCCATTTTGGATAACGGATAAGGGGAAGGATTTCCGGAGAGATGAGTCTGGACCTGCGTTCTAGTTCTTTGCTCAGGACCCCTTCAGAGGCAGAAAGATTTTTCAAATAAAGATGAAAAGTCATTAATAACATAAAGGGCAGATAAATAATGCCAACCAGCAAAAGGTAAGGCGAAGTCAGACCAGAAAAATGCACCTTTAGCCTCCGCTTCCAGGAAAAGGAGGCGCTTCCATCTTCCAGGAAGAAATGGACTTTTCCTCATTCTTCCTGCTCAGCACAACTCAGAACCCTGGACGCTGTACATGAAACAATCGCCAGGAGGCTCCGAACAGTGGGGAGAAGGCAGCCTGGGTAGGGACCTCTGGGCCCAAGGAGTGACATGGTGGTGAGTTTTTCTTGTCATATAAGCCAGTCTGGGCGCTGGAGAAGCAGCAAGCCAGAAAAACCAGTAGTCCCAACATAATACCATCAAAAGCCCCAGCAGAAGCCTGCTCTCTCTAGGTTCCCAGAAATATGGTACAGCTTTTCCATGACGCCTGTGGACTTCTCATTCCTCTTTTCCTCTAAGTTTTTTTTAAAAATCTGTCTTTTGTTAGCCACAAATCATCATTGTCTCTTAATCCCCAAACTCTGTGAAACAAAACACTGCTTTAAGAGGTGCTGTCTGCAATACTGCAGTGTGATTTAATCATCTGAATAAGGGTGCTGAACACCCTGGACAACATCCCCCAGTTGGGAACAACCGGCAGGGAACAGCTGTCACCTGGGCAAATGCATGGATCCTTCGACAAGATCCTCGACACACAGCCACTCAACCTCGGAGCCTGCCAGCTTCACTGCCTGACATTTCTGATTTCCATCTTCTATAAACACCAGTGCCTGTCCATCTGCTCTCTACTTACTGGCCCAGTTCTCACCTCCAGAGCCACCAGAACAAGGCTCCTTCCTCTTCGAGGTGGCACCCCATCACACAACAGAGATTTGTGCATCGCCATGGCTGATGCAGGGAGACTGAGACGGTCTATGGTTTCTCCCAGCAGTCAAGCATGGCCAGCTGTGGCTTTGGTCTTACTGCCCGACCTCCACCTCCAGCCTCTTCTCTGACCCCAGGTGCCGATGGCAGAACCCAGAGGAGGACCAGCAGGTGTCCCTCCCTGTGGCAGATAGCTTGATGGGGAGGAGCGGAGGAAAGAAGGAGGCTCGTATCTGCTGAGGGTGTGCTCTGCTGCAGGTGGCCTTTGAGGAGCCACGTCTGCATCACTTCTCTCCTGTAATCCAGAGACCATCCCTGTGGGGCGGATGTGAGTGCTCCTATTTTACAGAAGAGAATGCTGAGGGTCAGAGTAGTTTAGGGACTTCCTTGGTGTTAGCCAGCCAGTTAAGGATGAGTCAGACCCAAAGCAATGGTGTCCCCACACCTCCCCAGCCTTCTGTCATTCACCGGAAGTGATGTGGGAAGGAGCAGGTTAAAAAGTGATCAAGGTCCTTAAACTCGACTCCAATCCCAGGGACCCAGAGGTGGTCCTGACTGCCTTCTAACTAGGAAATGGTACGAACACCTGCACCCTAGATTTGACTCTTAGACACGGTCCATTTCAA